TAATACCTAATCATATATCCCTTTTAAACAGTTCTTTCCCTCATCTGTTTCAATGCAGTATACATCATTCCTCCCCTCCTTTTCTGTCTTCCCTCAACCCTGATGTCAGTCCTGTTTTACAACAGTGGCCCTATGCAATATTTGTCTTTTTGTGACTGAGATATTACACTCAGCATACAGTTATTGTAAGAGGCGGTTACCCACCATTTAATTCATACCTGTTTAACTCCTGCTTTCTGCTCTGTAAAATGTGAGATTGCCACGTGGGAGAGATGCTGAGAGGATTACATTAAACAAGGTGTTGTGTGTACTATGGTAGGCGCTCAGCAGGCCAGGCAGGCTGCCTTCCTGTCATTACTTTATTCTAATGCAAAGCTTTCAGTCAAATGAACTCTCATTTGAATGAACTCATTCAAATGAATACAGTCTTTCAGGTTTGGGGCTCTTGTATTGATATCTAAGGAGCAGTAGTATATATAAAGTAGAGTTGAACAGAAACAGATTTTTTTTGTTGTTTTGACATGTTTTTGTTTTGGTCTGACTAGGAGGAGCCTGATCTGGTTAGTGCAATTTATGGCCGAGGGATTGCCTACGGGAAGAAGGGATTGCATGTGAGTATGGCCCAGGTCCAATGCCGTGGTGCCTGAGTTACTGGGCAGGGACGGGGTGGGATGGGGCCACTCACTGGTCAGTGAGCTCTCATGGCATATAAGTACTGGTGTCTTTTCGGTTTTATAGATGAAAAAATGGCCATGGAATGCTTTTCTCGAGATCCAATGGCTATTGAGTGTAGTTTTAGGCTTTCTGCTTAGATCTTGGATCTTATTTGGCTCATTTTGCCACATGTCCATTCCACAAGGGCAGCCTTTATTTGCCTTAGCATGATTTCTTCATAAACTAGAAATTGACTAAGAAAACCCTGAACCTTGGCTTCATTCCTAAGATGACATCTCTGTTCCAGTAGAGATCAGTGATTAACAATTACAGTAGGACTTGGGTTTTTCCTGCTTTCCACAGTTTTAGGAATTTGAATGAAAAAGTAAAAGTATGATGTTTTATATTTTGGTTTTGTTTTTTTTGACTGTGTAAAACTTCTACCTTCTTAGATAAGTGCAGTCAGTGATTTCCCGTAGTCCTCTGAGGAAGGCAGGAGGAGCTGTGGAATAAGCGTGTTTTAGGGAGGCGCGGGGACTGGGGTGTGAAAGGAAGACTTGGCTGAGCCTCTCCATCAGCGGTGAAGTGATCTCACATTCGGAGATTCACACGTTAAGTTTGGAGCATTGGACACAGACTTTAAATTCATCTTATTGTGTGTTAGGAAGACTCACTGATTCTACATTTTTTTCAGAGAGAAACCATCCACCTTTTTTCCCCCCCAATAAAAGTATTATACTAAGCTGGCCTATTAAAGACATTTTATGTAACATTTGTATTCTTTCTTACATCATTATGCCCAAGTTTGATCATTGAAACATAGAAGACTAAGAACTCAGGATTGTGATTGATGGCTGCCTTGGGTGGTAAACAACTGTGGCTCTCAAAGAGGCAGCAGATGATCGCCGTAGAAGTTGATCTATTCAAATGTGGAGCGAAATCTTTCTTCCCAGTCTCCATCTCTCCTAATTTCATAGGAGACATGAACTTTGTATCTTTCAACAAACCCTTATATTTTGAGATGTCTATTTAATACTTTAACAAGAACTTACCTCGACTTCTGTAAGTGTGGGTAACGTAAGGACACATTTGTCATTTTTTTATTAAGGCTGATTTGCCAACTTCTTCCCTGCCCTTTCTCACTGGTCAGCATTGTTTCAAATGTTGCTATCCACAGTCTTCTTGAATCTTCAGACTCAATGTTAGAATAGGTTCAATTTATAAAATGCACTTTTAAATACCATCTGTGGAACCTCTGGAAGGCAGCTAAGTCCGAAGTGATATCGACTGGTCAGTCAGTAGACCTGAGTTAAAAAATGGTAATATCCTAACTTACTTGTCTTGGTTGAACATCTCTTGTGCAGAAGCTAAATTAATATTTACTTCCAGGAAGTTGGGAAGTTGGTTGTATTGTTACTGAACGACCAGTTTTTTTCAGGAAATCTTTTTGCCTGGTTTTGAGTAGCAGTGTGTCTGATTCTGAGCTGTGCCTTTTCAAGGACATTAAGAACGCTGAGCTTGCTCTGTTCGAGCTGAGCCGAGTCATCGCCTTGGAGCCAGACCACCCAGAGGTGTTTGAGCAGCGGGCAGAAGTGAGTGCTGTTGTCTGTCTCCCTGTCGTTGTTGTACTGGGTGAATCTCAGTGGTGTCTTTTGCCTTGTGTTGTAATTTTTTAAAATTTGATGTTCATTCCTATCAATGTGCTTTCCTACAGAGGCATTGAATGCCCTTAAGCATAGTTGAGATTGCTAAAAATATGGGGACTGTCTAGTACTCCTGATTTAACACAGAATACTGTTAGTTGGTACCAAAAGTGTGGTGATGGTATACATTTGAACTGCTCCTGTCTGTATTCAGTGGAGAATATGACATGTGATATATACTGTCCATATGACAATTAGCAACACTCTCTCGGACAGCTTGTTCAAAACGGCATTTCTAGCCTTGTGTAGTGGCATCCCACTGATGTGTGTGTGTTTTTTATATATTATATGCTTACGAGATGTACTTATTGACCTAGTGCAAAGGTCAAATAATAATAATTATAGCAGAGAACTGCCGGAAGTCCAGGCTGGGTTTAGAAGGGGTCGTGGTACTAGGGATATTGTTGCTGATGTTAGATGGATCTTGGCTGAAAGCAGAGAATACCAGAAGAATGTCTATCTGTGTTTCCTTGATTATGCAAAGGCATTTGACTGTGTGGATCTTAACAAACTGTGGCTGACTCTGAGAAGAATGGGAATCCCAGAACATTTGATTGTGCTAATGCAAAACCTATATTTGGACCAAGAGGCAGTAGTAAGAACAGAGCAGGGTAAGACTGCATGGTTCAAAATTGGGAAGGGTGTATGCCAGGGATGCATCCTGTCTCCATACCTTTTCAACATGTATGCAGAGCAGATTATCCGAGAGGCTGGGCTCTATGAGGAGACTTGTGGCATCAGGATTGGTGGAAGATCTATTAACAATCTGCATTACTCAGATGACACAATCCTGCTTGCTGAAACTGAGGAGGACCTCATGCACTTGCTGCGAAGGGTCAAGGACTGCAGCCTTCAGTATGGACTGAGGCTCAATGTCAAGAAGACAAAGATTCTCACCACTGGACCAATTGGCAGCGTCAGGATGGATGACGAAGAGATTGAGAGTGTTCACAGCTTCAGTTTGCTCGGCTCCACAGTCAACACTCTTGGCACCAGCAGTCAGGAAATCAAAAAGCGTATCGTGATGGGAAAGTCTGATGTTAGGGACCTCTCTAAAGTACTCAGGAGCAACGGTGTCTCTCTGGAGACTAAGGTGCACCTGATACAGGCCATGGTCTTTGCAATCGCTTGTTATGCACCAGAGAGTTGGACAATGACTAGGGAGGACAGAAGGAGAGTGGATGCTTTTGAGCTGTGGTGCTGGAGAAGGATACTAAATGTACCATGGACTGCCAGGAAAACAAACAGATTCATCTTGGAGAGGATTAAACCAAGCTACTCCTTGGAGGCAAGGATTCTGGGGCTTCGTCTGACATACTTTGGACATGTTGCCAGGAGGGATGGGTCCTTGGAGAGGGACATCATGCTTGGGAGGGTGGAGGGACAGCGCAGGAGGGGAAGACCCTCTATGAGATGGATTGATTAGGTGACTGGGGTAATCGGGATGGGTGTGTCAGAGGCGGTGCGGTTGGCGCAGGATAGAGCAGGGTTTAGGGCTGTTGTGCATAGGGTCGCTATGAGTCGGAAACGACTCGACGGCACATAACAACAACAACAACAACATCGTGATGTCTAAAAGGATGTTGAGGTAGATGCAAACAATGAGACGTGAGAATGCCACGACATATTTACTGCATTAGGAACCAAGATGTGTACCTTCAGAAACAGGGAGGCACCGGCCATTGGTGCTGGTGAGAGGCCAAAGACATGAGAGCACTGAGGAAGGTGACTGTGGCCCAAAGCCCGTTTCCTGGGGAGACGAGGTTGAGAGGGTGTTCAGAACAGAGAGAAGAGTGCGAAAATAGCAATTGTTGATTCTACATTTTCTTAAGAGCAAACTTTCCAGCCACATGGAGTATAATATTTATTTTACTATGTATTTGGTTAGATTAAATACTTTAGGATTTCTGTTAAGGCATTAACTAAATGAAACAATTTTGATCATCTGATGTGGCATTATTCATAGCTGTTGTTGTGTACATTGAACCAAAACTGACCCAGAGCTGACCCTCCAGCGAGTTTTCAGAGGCAGTAAACCACACAGGGCCGGGGTGTGGTGGGGGTGGGGGTGGAGGGATTTTCCATTTTCTGTGGATTTGAACCACTTAACCTTTGGAATTGAAGTGCAGTGTCTTACCACTTGGCCACCAAAGCTCCCTGCTTTCACCATAGGTGGAAGGGATGGATGGCCTTGCTTTCTTTAGAATGAGCTGTAACATCCCTTTGTTCTCAAAGGGAATAATCCTTCAGATTAGACTATGATCTATGTTATGAGACCAAAAATAAGCTGTAATTTGACAGCTTTGATCAAGATACAGTGGTGGAGCTTGGTTGCATGAATATCTATACTAATCTTGTTTGTTATTGTTGTTGTTGTTGTTGAGTTCCATCAAATTGCAGCTGACTCACAGATGACCCTCAAGCAGGTTTTTAGAAGTAGTTGCTGCACAGGAGAAGATTGCCCGTCTTTCTCCCACTTAGCAGCTGGTGGATTAGAGTTGAGTGCTTTCAGGTAAGGCAGCTCTTCACCCGTAGGCCACCAGAGCTCCCTGATGCCCATCTGGGATTGGATTTGGATAGAATGGTCAGGCTGGATCCATGCATGGATATTGATACCCATGCAGGATTACATTTTCTCTCAGGTCTTTTCGTTTGCTTTTCCACCCTGCCCTGTCTCCCATATTTCCATCCTTACTGCTTCCTTACTTCCCTCCTTACAGCTGATGCTAGAGACGTAAGGACTTTCCAAATTTCTGCTTACTGATTGTGACTGATTAACTAAGAGATGTTAACACAGAAAGCTTACCAAACCCTTAGAAATTTAGAAGTAGCACATATTGCCATAAAGGATATAGCTGAAGGCCAACTTGTTTTCAACATTCTGTGCTTTATGGTTTCAAAATGATCATTTGGATTGATTTTACACCTCCCTGCTTATATATCTGTGTACATTATACACAAATATGTGTATGTTTTAATGTGTGTGTATATATAGCCATCATTTTTATTTGTCCTTATGTGCCATCAAGTCTTCTGTGACCCTACATACATTAGTTCTGAACCCTGCCCTATCCTGAGCCAATCTCATTGTCTCTGACAGACTTAATCCTATTTTTCCAGTCACTGAGTCAATCCATCTCATCCTGGGTCTTCCTTTCCTCTGCTGTCCCTCCACCCTTCCAAGCATGATGTCCTTCTCAAGGGACTGGTCCCTCCTGGAAGCATGCCCAAAAGTATGTGAGACAGGGCCTCAAAATCCTTGTCTCCAGAGAGAAGCCTGGTTCACCCTCTCCAGGATAGAACTGTTTCTTCTCCTGACAGTCTACAGTATGTTCAACACTATTCTCCAGCACCACAGCTCAAAGATGTCAATCCTTCTTCTATCATCCTTATTTATTGTCCAGCTCTTGGATGCATAGCAAGTAATTATGAAGACCGTGGCCTGAATTAGGTGCACCTCCAGACTGATATCATTGCTCTTCAGTACTCTAGAGGTCCCAGACTGCTGACTTTCCCAGTGCAATTTGTCTTTTGATTTCCTGACTGCTGATGCCAAGAATGTTTGTTGTGGAACCAAGCAAGCTGAAGTTATCAACAATCTCAGTCTTCTCCATTCATCATGAAGCTGCTAATTGACCCAGTGGTGAGAATATTTGTTTTCTTGATGTTGAGCTTCAATCCATATTGAAAACTACAATCCTTAACCTTCTGCAGCAAATGCCTCATGTCCTCTTCAGCTTCAGCAAAGAAGGTTGTGTCATTTGCATAATGCAGGTTGTTGATGCGTCTTCCTCCAGTCTTCATGCCACATTCCTTCTCATGAAATTCAACTTCCCAAATGATCTTTTCTGCATATAGATTGAAAAGGTATGGAGATAGGATGCATTCCTGACAAACCACTTTTCCTGATCCTGAGCCATGCAGTGTTTTCCTGCTTCATTCTGCTACTGCTTTCTGGTCCAAGTATAAGTTTGTCATGAGCACAATTTAGTGTTTTGGGATCCTCATTCTTTTCAAAGTTAGCCACAGTTTGTTTTGATCAACAGTCACATGCCTTTGCATAGCCAGTGAAACACACATAGACATTCTTTTGATACTTTCTGCTTTCAGCCAAGATCCATCTAACATTGGCTATGAATGTCTCTAGTGCCACAGCCTCTTCTAAATCCAACCTGCACATCTGACAGTTCTCTGCTGATGTATTATTCCATTTGTTTCTGGATAATCTTCAGCACGATCTTGCTATCTAGGTTTTGGTACTAAATGTGTATATTTTAGAAAGTCACATTGCAAGTTAATGGAAGAAGTCACAGTGCAAGGAAAACAACATCTGTTGAAAGTCAGTGTGTGAAATGATGGCGAGGCAGTTCATGTAGCTGCAGGTCTTCCGTCTCCATGGCTGAACTTGACTAATACAGAGACCAACAGACTTGTTGACTTTGAACTTCTGCATGGGCCCATGAGAGTGCTGGTGGCCTAGTGGGTCAGACCAAAGGCAGGTGGTCTGAATCCAACAGCTGCACCTCAGGGGAAAGAAGGGCAGTCCCTCCCGTGATTTACAGCCTCTGAAATCCCTTGGGAGGGGCAGCTGTGCATCAGTGAGGAGGAGGAGTCGTCGCAACAGCCTGGGCTCAAGAATTCATGTGTGCTGAGAGTCACCTGTGAGTGCAGTGGGGGTGGTGGGCCCAAAAATGTTGTCAGGGTTAGGGTTGGTGGTTGGACATTTTCTCCTCTGACTGTCTCTTCTGGATTCACAGATTCTGTCCCCTTTGGGTCGCATCAGTGAAGCAGTGACTGACCTGACTAAAGCAATCCAGCTTCAGCCCTCCGCCCGGCTCTTCCGGCATCGAGGGACGCTGTACTTCATCTCAGAGGTGAGCTGCCCTGCCCACGGACTTCTCCTCGCAGGATGGTCAGGGTCTTCCTGCACCTTCAGCCTCAGGAACTTGGTAGATATGGGGTTTGGGTCTTCTCAGGAGAGTGCCTGGATATAAGAAAGTTAGAGAAGTGTTTCCTCTGGCTGAAAGGAAAGGGGACAACACATTTTATTGCTTGAGCTATCAAGTAAGAAGCTAATTATGGACTAGGATATAATTAGAGAGGGGAATGAACACCCAGTTTATTGCTACTTTGTTCATAATAGTAAAGAGTTGGAAACAACCCAAGTGCCCATCAACAAATGAATGAAGAGAGAAGTTGTGGTGTAGCCACACAATGGAATACTATGCAGCACTGAAAAACAAAGAACTTATGAAATAATATATAAAATGGGTAAACATGGAGGACATTATGCTAAGTGAACTGTCTCAGACACAAAAGGACAAATGTTACATAATGCCACTGTTATAAAACAGGACTGACATCAGGGTTGAGAGGAAACTAAGAAAAAAAGGAATAAATAACATATACAGCATTGAAACAGATGAGGGAGAGAACTGTATAAAAGGAATATATGATTAGGTATTGTTGGCATGACAAGAGTCCACAATAAGAGTTGCATAGTAAAGTGGTCTGGGGGAAGGGGCTGTATAATAATGAAAGAATTTTAGGGGAGCTCTGGTGGCCTAGTGGCAAGAAGCTGCAACTATAATCCCAGAGGTGCACGGTTCAAATCCACCAGATGCTCTGCCGGGGAAGGAGGGGCAATCTCCTCCTGTACCAGTCAGATCTGATTTGACGGTACACACACACAAAAATAATAAAATAAATTAAAAAAAAATGAAAGAATTTTTTTCCAAAGAAAATACAAACTGGGGGTGGGCAGGGAGGAAAATGTACACCAATGAATGAATGGAAAATCCAAGTTCTTTTATAAACTTCCATTAAAATCTCAGTTAAAAAAAAGAGAGGAGAGAATGTTGGTTAATGAGTCATCCTTTAGCCTTTCTTATAGATGGCAAAATAGAAAATGATCTATGTGATTTTTTTTATAATACTGGTTTACATACAAAGTTCATAAAGATGAGATACATTGTTTTTCACACTGAATCATTCCCCTTTCCTTGACCCAGTCTATATAATTATTTTTTGCAGTAAACTTAAATGAATTCTTGTATTTATTTTTCACACACAACACAAATGCAAGTCACACAGTAAATCCCTAATTCCCCATAAAAACTTAAGTTAACAACTGAGAAGTGAAATTCTTATAATCTTATAATCTTCTGCATCATTCATAACTATACCCTCTATGGAATCCATTAGCATCAGAGGAGAATCTTAACTTAAAGCACCAAATTTTCAGGCATTACTACAAATGTCCTTTCATTCTCTAATACATGCAGCCAAACTGCCTATGAAGCAAATACCAATTCACTTGATGCCTAACTGTATGAGGTAAAGCAGGTGGGAAACCAACATTATTTTCAAGCCTAAAATCGTGATTCTACCTCTTTGTTATGTACCCTTGCATGGATTTTTAAACTTTCATTGTAGTTATATGTAACATGATTATAAGTTTTGAACATAATTTCTCAGATTCATCTAACAGCTTAGGACATCCATACTTGTTTTAGATGTCCTGAGGAAAGTAAAAACATTTCTAATTTAGAACTTCCTGTCAATATTTATTAAAAGTTAAATTTAGGATCTTAACAGCAAAGCAAGAGTAGAGTGTCTGCTCAAATATTATTAAAAAAAGAACCAAAAACATAATCTCCCTTATGATATGTAAATTAAGGTACAAAACGTATTTTTAATATACTTTTTATAGATGTGTGTTTTCATTGTTTGGAGGAGGGTTCAATGGGTATTTTCAGGATCTTGCTAACATCAGTCCTATACACCCAGAAGTTAATGGAAGTCTGTATCATTTTTAAACCTAGACAACAGAGAGGTAGGATGTAAATCCCCTGGTATGCCCTTACCTAAGAATCTAAACCAGCTTGATTCCAGACTGGCTTCTCTGTATCAGTGACCCAGATCTAGCATGATCATCTGTTGTCACAGTGGTATTTATGACTTCCACAGTTATTTTTGTGAGTGTACAATGATCTTAATGCAAAAATGCTATTAGAAATAGCATTTATTTAGTGTGTGTGTGTGTGTGTGTGTGTGTGTGTGTATATATATAATAGAAAGCTTAATATAATACATTTTAACCCAATAGCACAATTCTTTGATTATTCAATATACTGAAATAATCTGGAAACTTTGTTTAATGCTTTCATGAGGTAATGTTCCTTGTTGTGTACCATTGATACAGAACCGACCCATTGCTGGCCTCCCACAGCTGGTGGATTTGAACAACTTGCCTTTGGGATTGCAGCATATCTTCTTACCAGTAGGCCACCAGTCCTCTATTCCTTGTTGTAGTGAAGATGATTAATGTATATTCATCCTTTATTCAGGAGAAGGATGGACAATCTCCTCCTGTGGAGGGTCAGCTATGAGTCAGTTCTGACGTTAGGGTAAACAGCAACAACAATCCTTTATTAGTTCTTTCCCTTTCTCCAGCAAGCCCCTAAGAAAACCCAGCTATTGTAGATAGCAGTATAAGCACTCATCTAGTGTTGATGGTTGTGAGATGTGTTTAACAAGGCACAGAATGAATGAAGACTTTATTTTATTAAAAAGGCTTCCCTCTGTCAATCAAAAGTAGAAATTGTCTACATATCTAATGGCAGCCTCTATTTCTTCCCCTCTCTCCTCCCTGTAGGACTATGTGACCGCCCATGAAGACTTCCAGCAGTCCTTAGACCTGAACAAAAATCAGCCCATCGCTATGCTATACAAAGGGTTAACTTTCTTTCACAGAGGACTTTTGAAGGTGACATTGTTGGGTGATGTTTTAAAGTATGATTCTCTGCTTTTGTGGGTGGGGATTGCTCAGTGAAATTTGCATTGGCATCTTTGAAAAGGGAGTGTCAGGTGTCTCATAGGTTTATTTAGAAAGTAATTTGAATCTACATGTTTATTGAGCTCCTACTATTTGCCAAGCCCTCGAAGGGAGGTGTAGAAAAGCAAAGGATAAAAGGCTAATAATAAGAGGAAGGAAGAATATTTGCAAAGGGTACTCTCATCACTGGGCTAACTGGCAGCAGCATGATGGATGGTGAAGAGATTGAGAGTGTTAGTAGTTTTAGTTTACCTTGGCTCCACAGTCTCGGTACCAGCAGCCAGGAAATTAAGAGACAAATTGCATTGGGAAAGTTGGCTCTTGGACCTCTCCAGAGTCCTGAAGAGCAACATTGTTAGTCTGGAGACTAAGGTGTGCCTGATCCTGGCCATAGTCTTTGCTATTGCTTGCTATGCTTCAGAAAGCTGGACAGTGACTAGGGATGACAGAAAGAAAATTGATGCCTTTGAGTGGAGAAGAGTATTGAATATACTGTGGACTGTTAGGACAAACAGGTTCATCCTAGAGAGGTTGAAGTTGGTCTGCTCTTTGGAGGCAAGGATTCTGAAGCTTCATCTGACATACTTCAGGCATGCTACAAAGAGCAACCTGTCCCTTGGAGAGGGACATCATGCTTGGAAGGGTGGAGGGACAGAGAAAGAGAGAAGACCCTCGTTGAGCTGGATTGATATAGTGACTGGGGTAATGAGGGTAGGTGTATTGGAGACAATGAAGTTGGCACAGGATAGAGCAAATTTCAGGGCTGTTGTACATAGGTTCTCTATGAGTCGAACACACCTCAGTGGAACATAACAACAACACAACACCAACAGTATAGTATGTTGTTGTTGTTAAGTGCCATCGAGTCATAGGCGACTCATAGCGACCATGTGAACGGAAGTCCTCAACAGTTGCATGATTTTCATCCTTTCTCCATACAGTATAGTATACATACTTTTTCCTACACACAGTTTATTATTTGGTCAATACACGAAATAAAGAAATATAAACACATTGCTTTTGAACAGTAGACAAGAAAGATGCATTGGAACTGTGGATTTGAGGAAAGTTACAGAGAGAACATAGTTTGTCCTCGACCCTGAAGCCTGAGGGAATGAGAGAGTGGCATTGGAGGAAGGTGGTATTGGTGTAGAAGAGGGCACACAGTGGATAACAAGAGGGATGGGAGGAGGGCCATGCCCAGGAAGAGAGTGGAGGGTTCAGGAGCAGCTCGCAGCAGATAGGAGGCTGGGAGGGGGTGGGGTGGGGGTTTTATAAAGCCCAGAGTGCTGTGCTAAGGATTATTTTAATCTGGCGGTGGAAGGTGACTTTCAAATGACGATTTGTAGGAAATATGCCATGTAGGCCAAATCTGCAATTTAGGAAATGAATTCTAACAATATAGTGGCTGAAGAGATTAGAGATAGGCAGATAGGACTGATTAGAGACCTCCACAGCTTGCCAGAGGTGGTGAGACCTGGCCTCATGCACTGGGAGGCAGTAAGAATAAAAAAGAATGAACTAAGAAACATAGAGGCACTTGGTAAGATTACTGAAGGATATAAGCTACTGGGAGGAGATACAGGTGGGCTGGAAAGGAGGTCTATAAATTTACCCAGAGTTTGGGGGAGACTTGTAGTCTCTGTCCTGCTCCTTTCTTCTGCTCTTCTATCTACTCTGTTGTACATTGTAGAAATGCATGCTGAGGTTCTCCTATTGGTGGGGGGTTGTCATGCTAACAGTGAGGGGCACAGACACAGCTCATGCCAGGGCTAAGGCTCTGATTTCAGTTAAAACCACAGACTCCACAAAGCTCCCCCGCAGTGATCCCTGACCCCTCAGCACTGACAGCAGCTGGATGCCAAATGCACGCAGCCTGTGCAAGCTGGGACGCGGGAGAAGAGCCTCCGCAGAGAAATGAGCTGCCTCAGCTGTGAAGTCTGTGCATTTTAGTTCTGCACGTCAAGAAGGAGCCTGGTGACTGAAGAAACCCCATTTAACTCTTGGAAGCAGTTCTGAGTCTTTGAGATAGGTCTTTGGAGATTGAAGAGAGGTTTGCCTTTTGAAAATCCTGTCTGTTGTTAAGTCCTCAGAGTAATGACAGTGCCTGTCACATAGTCAGTGTTCAGTAAATGTTAGCAAAATGTCCGGACTGGAGTATTGCATTTGGAACTGGAAGTCTTGTTCAGCTGCAGCTCTGAAGCCGTTCCTTGAACTTTTTTAGCTTCTCCTTGTATGTCTGTGAAGTAGAGACAGTTCTTCTCTGCCTCTTGAACTTACGATGAAGAGTGAAGAAAATATGTAAAAAGTATTCTGTAGGATATAACTATATAAGTCAATTGCTCATTATTTTGAAGGTGAAAATTTAAGTTTTCTAGACTCTTAAAATTAAAAACACCATACCCCATTTCGCAAAAAGCCAAACAAAACAAAAGTGAAAACAGCCTTTTGTAAACTCTTATATACTTCCTATCCCTTTTGCAAGCAAGTGGTGTTATTCCTGATGAAAACCTCTCTCTGATGTCAAGGCTCAGACTGGCCGCTGTGGATTTCAAGACCAGGTTACCTACAGTGCGGTCTGAGCAGCTGCCAGGGAACTTCGTTAGCTTTTCTGGTGTCTGTTCCTCATCTTCTCTCACAGTCACCTTAAATGCTAAAAATCCCGAGTCACAGTGTTAGAGTCAGTGTATATCTATAAAATATGAAGGAGAAAAAAGTTTGGAAATGTGGAAAAATGTCAGCCTGTTAATATTGTGTTATTGTTGCACCATCAAGCTGGTTCCAAGTCACAGTGACCCCATGTAATGGAGTAGCACACCCTGCTGGGCTTCCTAGGTCCTGGTCTTGGCCCTCTATGTGGTTCACTGGGCCGCGACCTCAGTCTTCCTTGTGGCGTTCACTGGGCATGGTCTTCACCCTCCATGTGGCGTTCACTGGGCCACAATCTCAGCCCTCCACATGGGGTTCACTGGGCCACGGTCTCAGCCCTCCATGTGGGGTTCCCTGGGCTGTGGTCTAAACCTGGTCCAACTCCCTAACCTCCTGCCATAATCTTTTCTCCTGCTGAGCAGCTGGCAGATCCAGCCGCACCTTCCAGTTAGTCGCCACACTTTTTAAAAGTAAAAAAAGTGGACAAGTTACTTACACTTTGCCATTTTAAAGTTAGGTTTAAGAGCATGGGTAGGACTCTTTGAACAGTTTGGAAGCGACAGTTTTTCCAGGGATAAAAGAAGCTGTAACCAAGGCACTAGCTACAAGTTAGAGGACAGATCCTGCGTGCTTTACGCCAGATGCATGTGATGAGAATGGAGAAGCAGCGTGCCTCATTGCGTGAGCCCTCTTTTAAAAGCCCCCTGTCAGCCAGGCTTACCACGCCACTAGACCCTTTGCCCCTGTCTCCATGTTCCAGACATGGCATCCATCCTCTTGTGCAGTGATGGCCCTGTCTGCTTGCATTTCCCCAGACCAGCTGCCTGAGGAGCTCAGAACATCACCCAGATTGTCTCAGCAGCAGCGTCCCCATGAAGTAGACCTGGAGCCATGAGTGTCCTGGTGACACTTGGTGGAACATTGCTGTAGTGACAGGGCTTCACTGAATGAGTGAAACTAGTGCAGACACCTCTTATTCTCATGATGACTAGAGAGAGAATGTATGCAACAACAGTCAGTGAGTTCGAGCCCTCTTTATAGTCCAAGGTCTCTCCAGATCAGCATCAACCTAAAATTGCTAAGTAGATGATTGCTTGTTTACTTTATGCTACAATCAATTAGAAATATACTAGACAGTGTTGTATTACAAATTTCAAAGCAGTCAAAATCAATAGATGTATTTGAAATTTGGCATTAGGGAAGAAACACAACAATTGTAAGCTTTTAAAGTTTAACTCCTGCTTTATTGATGTTCTAAGGCTATTTAAAACATGGCATGTGCTGATCACCTGTTTTTGTCAGCTACTTAGAATTGGCCTCCCTCTGGGAGTTACCTGAGAGTGTTCAGCTCTATTAGAAAGTTCCAGGGTGAAGGCAGCCGGACGAGGAAGACCGGTCAGTGAGCGGGAAGTGGTGATGAATGCAAATGCGTCCATGTGCTCAGAGGCCGATTGACTTGAATGTGGTGTCTTTGTTGCCAGTGGCGCCCAGGTCTTGATCTTGTCATGTCCCCTCTTTGGCAGAATGAGGTAGAGAGCTGTGCAGTGAATAGACAGGAACCCCAAAATGAAAGACTAAAAAGCTGAAGAGAAATCTGGCTTTGAAGGAGTGTGGCGTCCATGCGTGCTGTAAGTGGAGGGGGCAGCAGATGCCCCTGAGCATCTCCACTGACCCTCCAGATACCACATGTCCTGTGGAGTTCACATCTTCCACCCTGTCAGCCTGAGCGTCCTTTCTCCTGTGTCTCTCTCTTGGCTAATGTTCTCATTGTCTGTCCAGTCTCTTTAGCTTCAAAGCTTTCTATCTTCTCTCTTTTCCTTACCTTCCCAAGTCCCCTAGACGCAAATTTCCATCCTATTTTGCCTTCACAAATGTCTCCCTTCTTTTCTTTCCTCAGAAACACTGTTGATTTGAGCTTCATTATCTCTTGCCTGAACTGCCACAGCAACCTCCTAATGGGGCTGTCTCTGTTCTCATCCCTCTCCAGTCCGTCTTCTTGTTGCTGCTGATAGTGGTTTATCATCTTTACAAAGTAAAATCTCCAGGAGTTTCTTACCTGCGCAGAGTCCTAGTCCTCCTTATCTGCAGGGTAAGGCCTAGACCACACAGCATGGCCTAGACAGCCTTTCCCTGTGGCCCCAGCTGCCCATCCACACTTGGTCTCCTGTCATGCTCCTCTCCCGTCACTCCTTCCCACGTACCTGATGTCCTGCTCCACCGTCTCCCTCATCCCCTGAGTGCTCTGTACTATGGCCCAGCCTGTCCAGAATCCCTCTTCTCTA